CATCCATCCATCCATCCATCCATCCATCCATCCATCCATCCATCCATCCATCCATCCATCCATCCATCCATCCATCCATCTATCCATCCCTACTATTAGCGATTCTGTCTTCATGGCTTCTTCTCTCTGTCTCCGCAGGCGTGGCCCACGACGATGCTCGTCGTCTCGCACGACCGTGGCTTCCTCAACTCCGTCTCCACCGACATCCAGCACATGCACTCGCAGCGCATCGACAGTTACCACGGCAACTACGACCAGTTTGTCAAGACGCAGATGGAGAAGCACAAGAACCAGCAGCGGGAGTACGAGGCGCAGGTCGCCTACAGGAAGCATCTGCAGGTCGGTGTCGTCGCCGTGCCGACGAGTTAATCGTCAAAAATTCTGGGTAGACTCGAACGTCTACGTGAGGACTGTGACGTCTTACTCGAGGGCGTGTCCAAAAGTGTCCTGTATAGATAGATGAGTAAGCAAAAGTGGTTTCACTGTGTAACTGCCACTTAAGGGAAATGTAAAAAGACCGTTCTCGAGGTGGTTGTAACTGTATAACGCAGTGGCAGAAGCATAAGCATATTATAACTGTAACTGTCACTGTAACAGAACTGTTCTGTTTGTCTGGTATTTTAAGCAGCTTCTATATATATATTTTTGTTTCAGGATTACATCGATAGATGGCGCTACAATGCTAAGCGGGCACCACAAGCGCAGATGAGAATTAAAATTCTAGAAAAACTGTACGTAGACTACTAAAATACCGATCAGACATGAAATTTAATATCAACCTATTGTTAAAACAAGAAAAAACTAGTCAAGTAATAACATAATTAAACAACAGACAAGCCTGCAGTTGTTTTCTTTGGTAAATATCGTCCAAAGTGTTCTTTATAGTACACTAATGGTCTCAGCAGTAGTGTGAGTTAAAACGCCTTAGTTTGTTTTGTTTGCTTGTGCTGTATTTCTATTTTATAGTAGTGGGAGACCTGTATTAGCTTCCATTATTGGTTTGCGTTAATAAGGCAGTTTATGTTCCATTGCCGTTTCCAGGCCTCCGCTCGTGCCTCTTGTGAAGGAGGTGGAAGTAATACTCAAGTAGGTTGAGTGTTTTTATCATGCTAATCATGTCCTTATGGTTATATAATATATATATATATATATATATATATATATATATATATATATACATATGTATATACATACATACAGTTTGTAAAGTAAAGTACCACAATATATTCACTATAGTATATATATATATACATATAGTATCGTGAACAAGTATATACTCGACATTCTTACCCATACAGAAGAATATAGATATTCTCAACCATTACGTACTAGGTTCCCCGAGTGCGACCAGCTATCTCCGCCCGTACTGCAGCTGGATGACGTCGGGTTCGCCTACAACGCCAGCAAGCAGATCTTCAAGAAGATATGCGCAAACGTCGATGGCGACTCGAGGATATGCGTCGTACGTTTTTTCGTTTGAACGTTACCGTCTCGCGCTGGAGTTTTTTGAACGGGGCGCGGCTCTGTGATTTTTGTGTTTTGCGCTTTTCCGTTGTGATTTGCATTGGTGCGCTTTCGGATTGCAGTGGCCCCCTGAAATTTGAGATTAATCCAAAGGCCACGTGTTTCTTCCCTCAAAAGGAGTCATTTGTCGTCGTCAAAGCTAAAATTTGTTCAGTTTGTCAGTATAATAACTAGTATTTAGGGTAGTTATTATACTGTTATAATTATTATCATATTAAGTTTTCATTTTTTAAGTTTTTATCTTATGGTTTTTATAATTGTGATTAAAAAATTTGATTAAAAAATTTGATTAAATTAATTTAAAAATGATTAAATTAATTGAAATAAATACAAAATTGAAATTAATTGATTAAAAATTGATTAAAAACCAATTTATAATCGTGATTAAAATTTCCATCACTTATATTATTGGTTTTATTTTTTATTATTTTTTTTAGTTTAATCACGTTTTTAATGCATTCGTTTTAATTATTTTTATTATTATTTATTGCAATTCTTATCATTTTGATTACTCAGCTAGCCTCGAACCTCGTTCAAGTCTCTACGTGTCGCGTTCTAGGTCGGCGACAACGGCGGCGGCAAGAGTACACTGCTGAAGATTCTCAAGGGGGAGCTGAGTCCGACGGAGGGCCTGCGACACTGCCACCGCAACCTGCGCATCGGCTACTTCAGCCAGCACCACGTCGACCAGCTCGACATGGATGTCAACTGCGTAGAGCTGATGGCTCGGCGATTCCCCGGTGCGTGCCTACGTCCGTCCGTGCGCGCGTGCGTGAGCGCCTTCTGTCACTCCGCACGCATTATTTAAATTTTGATTGTGAAGGTTTTAACGGAAATAACAGTCTCGGTGGTATAGATAATTATTCGGCGAACATTGAATGCACGTTTCCACAATCAATCCCGCCGGTTTACATTTGTATGAACTGACATAAAACAGAATATTAATAATCATAATTGTAATAATCATAATAACGACAACAACAACAAGACAATAAGAAATCACGGTACGTTTTCCATCCACTTCTTCACGCGCGAACGCACGCTTCGTAACGCACGCGCGTCATCTCTCTCCGTGACCTCGTTCCAGGTCAGAAGATTGAGGAGCACCGCCACCAGCTGGGCTGCTACGGCGTGTCCGGCGACCTGGCCCTCCGACCGGTCATCAGCCTGTCCGGCGGTCAGAAGAGCCGCGTGGCCTTCGCCCTCATGGCGATGACAAATCCAAACCTCCTCATACTCGACGAACCGACGAATCACTTGGACGTCGAGACGATCGAAGCGTTGGGTGAGTGTTAGAGACGCGAGAATTTGGCGTGGATTTGGGGATTTCCGTGGGTTTTGCTTTGCGAAATTATGAAAAGATTTAGACGTTGGGTGAGTGACTGTTGCGGGCGCTATAGTCTACGGCAGATCCGCGTACTTTCTGGAGTTTTGGTTTGTGAATATAGGAAATCGTTGAAACGTTGGGCGATAGTTAGGGCCTAGTCGGTTTTGCCCCTGGTATCCGCCATCGTCACTTCTTAAATCACCGATAGGCACAGTAGACGGATATCCTACATGAAGAAATTTAATGGTGGCATCATTCCCTCACGTTTGTTCTTGCAGGGAGGCAATCAGAAAATTCAACAGCAATGTCATTCTCCCACTTATATTATATTGCAGGGAGGGCGATCAACAAATTCAATGGCCATGTAATCCTTGTATTTTATTCTTGCAGGAAGGGCAATCAACAAATTCAACAGCCATGTAATCCTCGTATTTTCTCTTGCAGGGAGGGCGATCAACAGATACAACAGCCATGTAATGTAATGTTTTATATTTCAGGGAAGGCGATCAACAAATTCAACGGCGGCGTGATACTCGTCTCGCACGACGAACGTCTCATCAAGCTCGTGTGCAAGGAGCTGTGGCTCGTCGGCTCCCAGTGCCTCGCCTCCGTCGAGGGCGGGATCGACGCCTACAGGGACGCCATCCAGGCAGAGCTGCAGGCCCAGGGAAGCAAGTAGAGACAGAGCTGCAGGCCCAGGGCAGCAAGTAGGAGCAGGGTGCAGGCTCAGGGCAGCAAGTAGGAGCAGGGTGCAGGCACAGGGCAGCAAGTAGGAGCAGGGTGCAGGCCCAGGGCAGCAAGTAGGAGCAGGGTGCAGGCACAGGGCAGCAAGTAGGAGCAGGGTGCAGGCCCAGGGCAGCAAGTAGGAGCAGGGTGCAGGCTCAGGGCAGCAAGTAGAGGCACGGTCAGCGGTGGGGGCAGGGTCAGCGATGGAGGCAGGGTGTGGCAGGGTGCAGGCGCAGGGCATCAAGTGAAGGTAGGGTGTGGCTGGAGGCAGGATCAGCAGTGGAGGCCCAGGGAAGCAAGTAGAGACAGGATCAGAGGTTGAGGGTCGGAAGGTCGGAAGTGGGGGCCCAGGGCACAAAGTGAAGGCAGGGTCGAAGATAGAGGCAGAGTGCAGTTAAAATAGAGGCTTGGTGGACGTGGCTGCAGGCCCAGGGAAGCAAGTAGAGGCAGTGTCAGAGGTGGGGGCCCAGGGAAGCAAGTAGAGGCAGGGTCAGAGGTGGAGGTAGGGTTGGCGATAGAGGCCCAGGGAAGCAAGTAGAGGCAGGGTCAGAGGTGGAGGTAGGGTGCAGGCCCAGGGCATAAATTGAAGGCAGGTGCATCACAGTGACACTGGGATGCACCCACTTTAGTTCGTGTATGCTGCACAGTTCGTGTCCTGCGCACAAGTAGAGGCAGTGTGCGAAGGAAGGCATTGGGCCGGGTTCTCCTACCTTGTTTTCAGCGAGGTGTGAACTCGGTCATGCGTGGATAGTGAGCGTGTGTCAATGAACACTTCTGAAGGACGTGTGGTCGTGGCTGCGCGCGCTTTTGTAAGCTTGTGAGAATTCGGTGGCGGTTTGGACCGGGCAGACGTCGTTAGGTTACGTTTGCACCGCTGTCGCCTATCGCGTCGTGTTTCAGCGCGGTTTCCTTCTCATTACGGTTCTTGCGATCGATGTCCATCTCACGTTCCCTGCACCTGCGATCCTTGTCCGATCCTGCAATCTGAGTGATATTTCTGTGCTTCTCAGTCTTCCCCTGCATTCCCCCCTGTTAGCTTCCACGCATCCGGTGTTACTCTTTTGCTGCTCCCTCGGTTTTCATGCCACATTGCCTCTCCTGAGACTCCTCTTGCGCCATTCTGAAAGGTTGCCTCATCTATAATCTATAAATTATTCACCTGCCAGCTCTTTTGGTACACGGAGATGGCCTGTATATCTTATATTCTGCTACGTGGTTTCTACTCTTTGTACTGCTATTTAAAGACATTTTGTTATCACCTTATTTTGTCAGGTTTCCTTTTAGAATTACATTGCTCACCATCAAAATTGACATCTAGCGAAAACGTCAGTCAGACTAATTAATTATATTATATTAAAATGCAGAAAGTAAATGCAGGCATAGAGCCTTTATGGTTATTAATGAGCGTGAAGACGATACTGTATATAGCTCTGCTAGTGTGTATTGCAACACACGACGGAAGGTTTTGCATTGCTACGGGCAATTGTATTATGGTACATATATCCACCGCTATACCCCTACTAACCAGAAGCGTAGCTAACCCATTTTTGTTGGGGAGGTGAAGCCATGTGCGTGGTGCCAGGTTGCCCACGCACATGCCACGCCATGTGCGTGGTTCCCCAGGAACTGGAAGGTGACTGCCATTAACCATGTATTGTATCTACTTTTTTCTTGAGGGGGCAACCGCCCCCCACCCCCCCGCTAGCTATGGCCCTGCTAACAGTTCGAGGGCCAATGTCCTGTTATTTAGTGAGAGAGCGAGGACCTGGGTGCGTGCATGTATTATATGGTTTGACATTGGCAAAACAATAAAAGCAGCACCTTCGATTTGATGGAACATAAACCCAGTCTTCGGCAGCTTCTGTAATGTCTCTCTAAATATATATCATTCTCTCTGTCTCTCTCTCTCTCTCTCTCTCTCTCTCTCTCTCTCTCTCTCTCTCTCTCTCGCGTGCGCTTTCTCTCTCTCTCTCTTTCTCTTTCTCTCTCTCTCTCTCTCTCTGTCTGTCTGTCTGTCTGTCTGTCTCTCACTTGCTCTCTCTTCTTCTTTCTCTCTCTCCCTGCCCCCTCTCTCTTTGTCTCTCTCTCGCTCTCTCTCTCTCTCTCTCTATATATATATATATATTTATATATGAAACACTTTTATGGATATTAAATTCGTATTCATAAATTGGTCGGTATCTAATTTGAAAGCACATGATTGATTATTAATGAACAAAACAAATTAAAAAAAAACAGTAAAACTGAAAACAATAAATAGGTTTATGTATGCACAACGGATATTTCACATCACTAGTGAATACGCACCTCGTTTCAAATTAAATGAACCAGATCCGACAATCACAGAAGCAAATCATAGAAAGTAAATACTAGATTGTCTATCTCTTGTATATTTTCATTGAACATTGCGAAAATACAGTACAACGGCTATAGGACAAGAAAACATTTTTGATTGGCCGCCGTAGTGTGGCGCCCGTGTGCGTTGCTCTGAGTAACTGAGTAAATGTTTCTGCGTAACGGCAGTACAACAGCTGATAAACATCGAATATCGTCGTCGGTGGGCAGTGTCAGCGTTTGTGTGCATGTGTTGTGAGCTTGACGGAAGTGTGTTACTGTTACTTAGGACAGCTGCAGCCAGTGTGAATATAATAAATTATTTTGTGTCTGTCAGTATTATTGTCATCAGTGACATCACTAGGCCTACAGACTACAGTACATGCATGCCGTTGGTTGGTCACCGCGGCTATAGTGACAGTGTGTGACTCACTGACTGCCGCTTTCTCCGTTGATGGATCTCGTGGGACCACGACATCGGCCGCGGTACTAACGATCGGCGTAAGTTAATTAAACTTATTATATTATTATTAGCCCAACTAGGCTGCGAGACTCATGCCATGGATATCCAGGAGCCCTTAATTCCAACCAGTACTACTAGTAGTAGTACTACTGAGTACTAGGTAACCCGACCAGGCTGTGTGACTAACGTCAATACACCGTATCAGGGTATTCTAACCCTAGCAATACCGTTTCTTGGAGCTAAGTACTAGGTAGCATATAACACGACATGCAGGTTGTCTCAAGTTTATGGTTTATACTACTGCGCGCGCTAGTAGGTCCTACTACTAGTACTAGTCTGTCACGTGTACGTCAACCTTTTTATTTGATCGATTATGTACATGTATGCGGCGATATGGGGGTGTAAACGCTACTCTGACCAGTAGTAATACCTGCAAGATTATCGACGAAAACGAAGAAATGCGTTCCAGAAAAAAATACTCGTAACGTGAAATTCTGTAAGTTGGGTACGTCACGCTTTCCGATTGATTTCACGGACTGTCACTTATCCGATGCGGTCACTCTTCTCATAATAATTAACATGTATATTGATCAGGAGTGTATAATAGGGATTATACACTATTATACCCTATTATACCCTATTATACCCTATTATACACTCCTGATATTGATCCTCTCAGGATGGAAAGCGGTGTAACTGTTTAGCGACACATTTATTTCAAAGCTGACGACCTTGACTTGTTGGCAGCTGAATGCTTAGGCTAGCCTTAGGCTATATGTACTTTTATAGTATCAGGAGTTAATAATGACAAATTGTCATTATTAACTCCTGATAGTGATAGTATTACTATTATTAGTATTACTATTACTTCAGTTTTCTTGACGGCGATTCGTCATTCCATGTTTTCGGGTAGAAAACCCTGTTCAATTCTTTAAAAAATTCTGTAAGAGTGAATTTATGGGTTCACGGATAGAGAGCATGGCCAGATTGATCTCTAATTAGCTGTTCTTGGGGCGTTCTCACGATAGAAGCATTATAATCGGGCAAATGGGGCTATGACCTACATCAAGAGTAGATAATAACACATGTGTCATTATCTACTCTTGCCTACATGCAGGCTAGCTATAGTATTATAGAGAATACATTTTCTCAGGACTGAATAAAAACAGATGAAACAAACCGCAGAGAAAACAACAAATAAAAACAATTTGCTTTTATCCATTCTTCATTTCATGTGATAGCAAAAACAAAATTTATGAAAGTACTAAATAATATATAATTGAGAGAAAGCAGAGGAAGAGACAAATTCTGTGTTTTGGCCGCAGCGGGTTTCTAGAGCGTGCATGCGTGGGCGCGTGGTTAGATGCTGACAACTGTGTTTGTTTGCTCGAGTAATTTACACCCTATACCTACTCCGCTAATGGATGAGCTGTTAATTGCTGTCAGCTTGCCAGCCATATAGCAAGCTCGCGAAAATTGAAAGGTAAATGTCGTGGTGATCGTCAGAAGGCATGCGCCTTTAGCTCACACCCTCCTCCCCTCTCTAACCGCTATCTCTGCCTCTGCGTCTACCTGTAAGACCATCAGGGCGTGTTGAATCCATACCTGTCGCAGGTGCGAGCGGCGGATTCGTCCTCACGATGATAATTAAATATTATCTATAGATGTTTACGATAAATACCTATTATTCTATAAATACCTATTAGCTCTTGATGTTTACGACCTCACGAGTTCACTGTGGGCCAACGAGAGCTTACAGCTTCGCGTTACAAACACTGAATCAACTCTCCGGAGAGTTTGCTCTGCCATGCATGCTAATTATTATGCTATCGGTATGTATCGCGTCAAGAGTAATAGATTAATAGAGATTAGTACATTAATACATCTCTATTATCAGGAGTTCATAATGACAAAATTTGTCATTATTAACTCCTACTATTATGTACTCTTGATCGCGTGCGTGTACGCGGGGAATCTAATGGGAACGTAGCTCCAAGAAACGGTATTGCTAGGGTTACAATACCGTATAATGTATAGACAATCCGTCGCACAGCCTGGTCGGGCTAATGGGAACGTGGTCATGGTCAATGATGATGACTAGTGATGTACATTAGGGCTCGCTATTGCTACTGCGGGGGGTTCGCGGTCGAGCGAACAGCCCAGCGTTATAAGATGTGGTTTGTGGGGTGGGGGGGGCCTCGTCTGTATCCGGTGTAGATAGATAATCTGTCTGCATGTGCGTTACTCCTGTATGTCTGTCCTCCCTCCTCCCTCTCTCCCCCGTCCGTTCTCGCTGACTCTCTCTCTCTCTAAGAGAGAGATTGAGAAAAGAGAGTAGAGAGAGGATGTAGCCAGAAAATGTGATGAGGAGAATATAGTAAAGGAGAGAGAGAAGAGAGAAAGAAAAGAGAGAAGAGAACAGGCAGATTATAATATAGTAGCTCAGGAGACGCAGAGAGAGAGAGAGAGAGAGAGAGAGAGAGGAGAGAGCAGAGAGAGGAGATGAAGAAGGGAGGCGTCGAAGCGGAGAGGAGAAGAGAGAGAGAGAAGAGAAGAGAGAAGAGAGAGAGGAAGAGGAGGAGAGAGAGAGAGTGCAGGATGGAAGAATGAAAGAGAACGAGAGAGAGGAGAGGTGAGCGACCCGGAGAGAGAGAGAGAGAGAGAGAGGAGAGAGAGAGGAAAGAGATAGAGATGAGACGATGAGACCCGATGGCATGTGACGGTAAAGGAAAATGATAATAGAGGAGACCCGGAGAGAAAGAGTTGTGACCACCTAGAGGAGAAAAGGAAGGGTAGAGAGAGAGCTAGAGGAAAAAAAAAGGAGAGAGAGAAGAGAGGGGAGAGGTGTAGAGAAAAGCATGCGCAGAGAGAAGACGAAAGAGGCCGAGAGGAAAGAAATGATCACTTTATAGAAAAAGAGAGTAGAGAGACGAGAGAGAGAGAGCGAAGAGAGATGAGAGCACCGAAGTAGAGGAAGAGAGGGCGGACGAGAGAAGAGATCAGAGAAGGAGGTGCGGGAATTAATAGAGGAGTAAGTGACTTCGAGGGTCATGAGGGTCCCGAGAGAGAAGGAAATTTCGGGACACGAGAGAAGAGACGAGAAGATTCCACGAGAGAGAAACAGAGAAGATGGTCTATCATCAAGCGGGGGAGAATGGACAGAATAGAGAGAGAGAAGGGAAGAGAGTTCAGTACGAGAGATACAATGTTGTATTTTCGAAGTTAAGGACGGATCAACGTAAAGGCCCGCCGCAAATGGATAACTGGGGCTGCTAAATGTGCGTCTCGTGATCGTCGGGCACAACAAGCACAGATAGGATAAGCCGATCACAAAAGACAACCAGAAGGTCTTCGCGACGGAGGGGCAATATATACCAACTTGGTTTAGCTATTAAGAGGAGAGAAAGAAAGAGTGGTGAGGTACATAACAACTAGCAGGGGAGTTTACTGCCAAATTGAGAAATCAATAACCGGCTATGAAGAGTGGATTAGCTATCTACACCAGGTATATCCAAGAGCACGGAGCTACGGGCCGCCCGGCGTAACTCCTCCCCGCTCACCCCACAAAACCACATCTGTTATAAGCGCTGGGCCTGTCCGCTCATCACGAGTCAAGGCGAACCGACCACTACGGTTGACACGGCCCCCTCCCGCATTAGCAATACAGCGAGCACCTGAATGCTACATGCGCGCATAGTGATACAATTCAATTGGAAGTTATGACCAACAAGTAAATCCAGACTGTGAGGGCCCGAAACCAGCTGTGTCGACGGATTGTCTATACATGTATGATCGGTATTGTAACCGCATTACACGAATGACCGTGCTTGGAGCTACGTTGCACCATTAGACTTCCCCCCGGCGTACACGCACATCAGTATTTGCAGCGAGCGGAATCGAGTACACTTATAAGCAGGCAGTTAATAATGAGAAATTTTGTCGATTATTGAACTCCTGATAGATAGAGAACTTGTATAATGTGTACTAAATCTCGGCGGTATTCATCCTGCTAATTACACCGTTGTACTCTGTGACTGTGCGGATATATAATTATATTCTTACCTACAGATAGCATAATTAATTAGCATGCACGGTAGCGCAAGCTCTGCGCCGGAGAGTTTGGAATGATCAGTGTTGTAAAAGCGGGATGGTGTCATGGGCAGATACACAACTTCGCATTTTCCGTAATGGCTGCGAACAGGATTTTCGTGTCACCACAAAAATATTGCCAAGTGTTAAGGGCGGGTCCGCAACGACAGCACGCTGTACACCAACGGAACATTTAGTGGTGGACCACGATCTGCATCTGAGAGTTGCGGCGCAGAGAATTTCAAGGACCAGGTGTTGGAGATTTGGTGCACTCAAGAAAAAACTTTATGAGTACATTTACCGTTAATTGGCTCGCCTGGTGGCACTAACTTGTGGTGTGAAGGGAATGGCTGGCCTTGAGCGGCAGAGCAACGGCACCGACAAATAATTGCCGACCAGTGGCGCACCCTAAATTGATCCGATAGTACGACCTACGATTCACCCACGGGAAACAAATGGTAGAAGTGTGCCTTAACGCAGAAGACTGGTAACGACCTAAGCTCCATGGATACAATCTAGAGGTTGATACTTCGTAGATGAGCATTCTACGCCAGTGACAGTCTTCGTGAAGGTCGTAAAGCCACTCAGACAAGAGCTAATAAAAAGTATTTTTATAGAATTGGGTATCACTACTTGGGTATTTAAATAGTTTCTGTAGACATTTCGATATATAAAGATCCCGAGAAGTATTTACGTTATCTCATAATTACGTTGAAGGACAATATTTACTCTTTAGACGGGGGGCGGAATTAGGATGGAGGTGGGGTTTTTGGATCACGTGCCCGCTCGGCACATACTGCGGACAAAGGTATGGATGATCAACACGCCGTGAAGGTCTTACAGTAGAACCGACACACAGAGGTGGCAGAGATACGCGGCAGAGAGCGGAGGAGGGAGGAGCAGAAGGCCGCATGGCCTTCTGTGAAGACGATTCATCATCGACATTGTAGACCTATATCAATTTTCGCGATGCGTGCCTATATGGCTGACAAGCTTGACAAGCAACAGTTACCGGGCTATGGGGCTTAATAGTCATTGCTAATTAGAGCGATTGAATAGTGTATACGGGTGTAAATTAACTGCAGAGCACAAATCAACAGTTGGTCAGGGAGACCGATAATAAGCTAAATCGTATATAACTCACGGGCAATAAGGCCGCATACATAGACATATCAGACAGGGTAGCGCTTCATAAACTCGAGACATATTGGCTCCGGCTGCGGCCCAAAAACGAGCAGAATTTCTGAATGAGCCTCACTTCTCTGCTTTCGGTACGTTAGCATCTTGCGAATGATATTATTTAGGTAACTGTCATTAAATTTGTGATTTTTGCTATCACATGAAATGAAGAATTGGATAAGAGGCAAATCTGTGTTTTAATTGTGTTGTTTTGCATACCTGGGCGGCATTTTATCGGTGTTCATTCCTCTGTTTTTATTCCACTCCTAGAGTGAAAAATGTATTACTCGTAATTAAGTATCCTTAAGTATAGCTAGCGCACTGCTCTGCCATGTTCGGAATGGTAGGCCGTATAGGATAGTAGATTAGTTAACAGAACACCCCATGGGGTCGAATCGGGGTGCAGGAAGTTGCTATTATTAATCTAACTCTTGAACTGTCAGGTCCATGTTAGCCGCCAAATTTTGATATTTGCACTGTTATTCCGATTTCATAATATGCGTCCTATGCGTGAGAACGGCCCCTCAAGAAACAGGCTATGTATAGATATGTTTTTAAGAAGCAATCAATTTACATGCGCCATGGCTCTCTAGGGGACTGGTAATGCCGTGTGTAACCCCAATATGAATTTCGCATACCTGCTTAACGGAATCCTTGTGTCTAAAAGAGAATTTGATCAGGGTTTCTCTAGCCCGATAAGAAACATGGAATGCAGGATGCCCGAAATCGCACCGTCAAGTTAAAAAACAGCGCCTATAAGTAATAGTTTGAATAGAGAGCTACGTATGAATAGCTTTAGATTAGGCTGTCAGGAAGGTGTAATTAATGACAATTTTGTTTCAAATTATTAAATAATTACGTTCTCTCTGATAGCTTGTTGTTAAAATCACATAAGGCAAATCCAAGGCTAGCCTAAGCATTCACTCTGCCCCACAAGGGTCAAGGTCGATCAATATCATGCGATTTGAATATACCATATCAGATGATTACAGCTAAATACAGATATATATAACCATATCACATCAGTGCGCGCCCGCTTATACCGATCTTTGCATGAACTGGAGCAAGTGATCAAACTGATGGGACATGTCCCTCAGAAATGATTTAAAACTAAGAATGTCTGGGAAAAGCTTAGTGACACGCATCGTGCGTGGTAGGTGAGAGCCGCGTGGAGAGCGCCGTGAATATCTAATGTGTGCGAAAGTCGTGACGTATCTCCATATACAGAATTTTAACGTTACGAATTATTTTTTTTCTGGAACGCATTTCTTTCGTTTTCCGTGCGGAGGTGGAATGCTTTTTGTCAGGAGGGTGTATTACTACTAGAGGTGTGTCATTTTATTGCCGGAGCAGTTGCAGCGTTTACAAGACCACCCCCTGTATATCGGCCGCATAACATTACCATAATACCGATCAATATAAAAAGGTTGACGTAACGTGACAGGACTAAGTAACTCCAGTGTGCGAGGTATAACCACCCCATAGATAGAGCACCTTGAGAACATGAGCGTCGTGCTATGTCGTGTTTATTATGTCTACCGACTACGTATGTTATTGTAGATACTGTTTGGAGTCCAGTAGCTGGATTATGGAATTTAAGGGCGTCCCCTAGGGATATCCACGAAGGGACATCATGAGTCTCCGAGGGGCGAGCCTAGTTGGGCGCGGCGGCTAATCCCAATAATAAAATCATAAGTTTTAAATGTAAGCGCTTATACGCACCAAAGATGGTAGCTCGACCCCTTTATTTCGAGCTCGGGTTATATGCGGTACCCTTCAGATTGCTCGTGGTTCCCGGGCACGGAGATCCAATCCAACG